TTGGTGCATAATGAACCAATATGCATGGCACGGTACTAAATCAAATGTGAGTGATGCTTAGAAAGGCTCTTATTAGATTTCAATACAAATATTTCGGTTACCGTTTCATCGCAGCACAGAAGAAATCCCTACCACATCAACTTGGGCACTTACGGTAACCAACAGGGTGATATTAACGTTGGCGATTAATATATATTAACGTAGGCGATATTATGCACATTATACAATAGAAATTTACGATGTATTTGCGACGAACACAAAGATATTTTTTTGTTTAAAGTTCGGTTTAGCACTTGTAGGATAAAAATACCTATTTAATTACATAACGCAGTCAGCATATCACTGTGCATATCACTGTGTAGTGTTGTGTATAGCACTGTGCTTCGAGGATTAGGCCTATTTGAAAAAGTTTGTTTATCATTGTTATATAAATATAAATCATATAACTAGTAGCCATGCTATGAGAATAAAATCACAAACACACTTTCATTTCTGCTTTATAATATGTTTTAATGTATGAAATCGAACAAAATTTAAGTTATTCAATAAGTTTGTGGAACTTCCATTCAAAGGTGCTGGTGGCACATTGAAAAATTCGTATTCTAAATTCAAATTCTTCAAATTTATATGATAATGGCGAAATTCTCTCAGTATCATAAATTTATCGGCCCGGTTTCATTACAGTAGAATAAGCCTTATTCTAGTGTATTATAAACTGTTTTACGAATAGTTTAATACTTAATCTACTCATGAAGTTTGCTGACATAGTTATATTTGGAGGTACACGAAGACTTTGTAATATAATAAAGGTTTTGCGGAAAAATACTATACAGTCGATACCTAAATTTGATATAACTGTGCTATAGGTACTATCTTAAAGGCATACGAAAAATGAATAAATGAGACCTTAAACAGAACCTTTGTTTTAGTCCTTATATAATGACTTAAGTTAAGTAACTACATAATTTTAACACAAAATAATAAAACGAGGAGTTTTTTTTTACTTTTTTTTTTTGTTTAAACACGCTAATCTCTGAAACTATTAGTTCGATTTGAAAAAATATTTTTGTATATGATAGCCAAATTCATAAGGAATAAGCTACCTAGAATTTGGCAACACTTGTTAGCTAGCCTTAAATGTAGATTTTTGTCAAGTCGGAAAAAAGCGATCCCGAAATGCTTTATCCTCGTGCACTGGCGTAATGTCTAGTAGTAAGTAAATACAATTTTCTACAAAATATTGATCTTTACTCTATCCATTGGACAGAAGTCCGTTATACCATATGTCTATTTCTTATACATAGGACACAATAAAGTATTTCATGCAATATTCATTATTGAAAATTAAAAAGTGATTTATGGGCGTTATTACTAGGAATGGTACTTTTGACATAAGCATTTGCAATATATCTCATATTAAAATTAATCGGCATATCTAAGTAAGTTCGAATTACCATCTTCGAAATCATCACCACCATCAGGTAGGATAGTATAAAATGTAAATGCTTCCACATTAACAATTTTTAAACGACTTCAAAATAGGAGGCATAACTATATTGTGTATAAACCGATTTATAACGTTTTTTCTTTTCTTTAACAGATTTAGTTCACACATACTTCACATACACATACACATACTTCATGGGTGCTCCCATAAAAATTTCATTAAACTAACTCATACATTAAGAGGGCATAACAGGAAAAAAAGAATCATGCCCACTTTCCATACATTGAAAGACCTGTCACTTGATTCCTTTAACAGGTCGCGTCTACCTATAACAACTGTTGTATAAAACAATTATTGTTTATAATAACATAACAAATAAACTTAAACTAAAACAAAACATAACATAAAAAATAAACTTATCATTTTTTCATTTAGAGGCCAGGGAAAATGCGATTAAGTAAATACGAGTTTGAAGTCATAACAGCTGTCAGATAAAGTCTGTACATTTATTTTTCTTTGCACACCATAGTACAAAACCTTTAAAAATCGTATCTAATCATAAATTAATTAATTGTAAAAAATTGTAAACACTCATAAACCATATGATGAAATCAGAAATCAGAATTTTTTTATTTGCTTTAAACATGGTAGTGCAAAGATGTTAACATAATGGTACGTCCTCATGTTTGACTTATAATTGTCATGCAAATTTGAAAGTAGCTACATGTTAGTCTACTTAGAGCTAAAAATAAGTTAAAAGACTAAACAGAAAACTAATGGTAAACATGAGTCACAAACAGAACATTACATGTCGTCATTTATAAATTGTATAATATTTTATGTCAAATTATTCAAGTAATAAAATAAATTAAACACAGAAAAGCTACAAATACAGTTAAAGTTAAAAAACCTCTTGGTCATTTAAGTATTCCTGGACTGAATAAAAGCACCTAGTGGAAAGCCAGGAATGTAACTTTTTTAAACAATGGTAACGGCAGAGATTTGAAAATTGGATAAAGCTTATTATAAATTTTAATAGCCATACAATAACAGCTTCGTCTGTATAGTGGAAGTCTTATTCTAGGTTGCATGATCCTTTCTCGATGTATGGTAAGTTTATTTTTGTTTTGCTCTCTAGTGACAAAATAATGAGAATATTGTCATATAAAAATACACATTTGTTTTATATACAGGCACGGCAGCGGTAGGATTCCAAGTTTATTGAAAAGGGGTTTACAGCTTTCAAGAAAATGTACTCTGCAAATAGCCTTAATACATTTCTTTTGGACTATGAAAGCCCGGTTTACATCCACTGAACCTCCCCACAATATAATGCCGTAACTAAATAGTGATGACACATAGCCATGGTAGGCCGATAGAGCAGTTTCAATGGATGATACATTACTAGTAGTGCGTATACAAATTTATTTATTTTCGTACATAGATTGTACTATAGTGCTTTCCAGTCAGAGTGTTTATCTAAAGTAAATCCAAGAAATTTAGCTTTATTAATAATTTCAACAATATTACCGCAACAATCGACGAGCACATCCATTGACCTTGCTCTGTAAGTAGTAAAATGGATTCCCTTTGTTTTTTGTATGTTTATTTTAACCCGGTGAGAATGTGCTGGAGGTTGTGGAGGTATCTATGACCCTATATTTTAATTGCATTTTTTTCGAAATTCTTTAATTTTTTTTTTGTGACTTTTACATAATAATGAAAGGAAATAGACATTTCTTTTACCATGTAAATAAAAATAAATATCAATATTGGTACAAAACTTTGTTATTATTCACACTTTTATAATACTTAAAAATCAAACAAGTTTTTTTCAACACTTACGTACATAAAACAACGTAACATAAAATAGAAGTAAAAAAACAAACTAACTAAGATAATTTGGTAATCAACAATAAGATCAATCAGTTTCATATAAAATAAAATAAAAAAACTTATAGTTACTCAATATTATTGTCAGTTATTGCAGCACATTCTTGGCAAAAAGAAACTGAGTGTTCTGGACAAATGTACTTATGACAATCTTCGCAGACATTGCTCGTCTTTCGATGTCTGGCATAAGGACACACTTGGCACCTTTTTCGTACACCTGGGACCCTTACAGACGTCTCCTGAGCAGATTCTCCTCCAAACTCTCTCATTCTTTTACGCAGCTGGCTGGACAACCGAGGTATTTCTTTTCGAGCACTGATATGTTCGGCTACCATCATGCGGCCCAAAGTTTTGATAAAATTACGGCGTTTTTTTGGTTTAATTTGTATTACATTTAAATACAATATTTCGCATTGATCCCTGCCATATTCAAAATTGCATAGAACACAGTCAGAGGCCATTTTTTGGAGTTGCGGCTTACATCATAAGTTGCGGACAACTCATCTGCAACGTCTACTCCTCCTTTAGTGGAGTTATAGAATGTGTTTATTTCTGTTTTTTTTCTCTCTCCAGTAGTTTCGTCAATATCAGCGTCGTGATGGAGATTTAACATGAGCAGAACAACTTTTTTCTTTTTTGGTATGTAGGATACCAGAGTTATATCTTTTTGAAAGCCGAACTTCGATGAATAAACATCTGCATCACGATCGCTAGTTTTCAGGAACTTGTTCGGGAGTACTCTCTGTTTTTTCCGCACTGTGCTCACGGAAGTCAGCTTGTGCTCGTTGAGTAGATGTGACACAAGTTCATAACTGGTAAACCAATTGTCAAAAGTAACATTCCGCCAGTTTTTGAAATGGGCAGCACTAGACGATTCACCACGTCAAAAGGTTTATTGCTTACGGAAAATGGTCCTTCTGGCTGCTTTCCTGCATAAATTTCGAGGTTGAAAATGTAATAACTTTGCGCGTCAACCATTGCTAAGACCTTTATGCCATATTTTGCAGGCTTGGATGGTATGTATTGTCTAAATTTGCACCTTCCTCTAAATGCCAGCAACATTTCGTCAATGGTAACATATTCGCCCAAGACGTATGATTTCTTACATTTCTCAACGAACAGCTCGAATATTTCACGTATAGGAGCTAAGTTGTCCAATAGTTTTTCTTTCTTCACGCGTAGATTTATCATCAAAACGGAGACAGTTTTGAATAAAATGAAATTGTTGACGTGACATTGTCAACCGAAATATTTCGACTCCTGTACCATCGGAAGCCCACAGATCTGCAGTATTTTGCCTTCCAGAGCGATAAAATCCGGCAATATACAATAAACCGATGAAAGTCTTCAATTCACTCATTTTTAATTCTATCATGAAGTGAGGAATGTTTTCACGACTAGCATTTCTCTCTCGAATTTGTAGATTTGTGTGAGTCAGGATAATGGAAATCGTATTTTCGGGACAAAACAAGCTCCAGCATTCAAGTTCTGACTGTGCTAATCTTGCTTCTGCGCTCACATCAGGTGTTTGTCTGATAATATTTTCTGAGCGCGTCCAAAGTTGCCGTAAAGGCGGATTTTTGAACCACTTGGAGCCATCTTTACCAGTATAAAAGGAATCCCTCACCTGGGCATCTAATTCCTCTTCTTCAAGCAGAATTTAATTCTGGTTTCGCAAGCTCGATATCGGAACGTCATCTTCGCTATCATATTCACTGCTTATGTTCTGCTCAGTGTCACTACCGCAACTGCGTACACTCAAATGATCTTCATTTTCACTGCTTTCTAACAGGAACTCATTTTCGCTGTCTGATTCCATCAATTTTTGACGTATCCACTCATCTCGATTTTCTTGCCGACTCATTTTAATCAAAAATACCTACAAACACAACAATATTCAAATAAAACAAAAATAAAAGATCGTAAAAAATGTTACGTCGCGATTGTCGCGGGGTCATATTAACCCTTATTCGCTTTGCGCACGTCCAACTCCCATCGCAGGCGACGGCCGACTAAATAGAGGCGTGCGGGGTGCGCTGTGGTCTATTCGTGACAGCTACTGAGACATTCGGAATCGTACGCCCGCGCGAAATATAAAATCTAGGGTCAAACTGACCCCTCCACATTCTCGCCGGGTTAAGATTGTTTGAATGTAGCCAATTGATTAGGTTGTGTAAAGTCTCATTAATAATGACATTGGATTTTTCTATTTCATCACGTTTTATTACCACGGTAGTGTCGTCCGCAAACATGTAACATTTATGTTGAGTTGCATTTGGTAAGTCGTTAATAAATATCAAAAACAACAGGGGCCCAAGATACTGCCCTGTGGTACTCCACATGGGTTGACACGATACTTTGACCGAAAAGTACACTGTCTGGATTCAACGACTGTTGTTATCTCAATACATTGCTGTCTATCTTGCTGTATTATCTTCCCATGGGTGGCGTAAGAGATAACAAACGGAAACTGAAACAGTACATGGGCAGCAGATTAGGTACAAAATTTAAATTTCAAAAAATAGTAACAGATCGTTTGCTTATCTATAACTATGGCCAAATTATCAGCGCCGTAGGTCACCCTGTGGCATCACGCTGAGTCATAACCTCTCACTTTTTTCGTGTGATACTGTATAATATCAATAAACGTCTTTCTTTATTTCTTTTTTCTTTATTTTAGTATCTTCCTGATGTCCAAAAACATACTACGGTAACTGCATTATGCTCTAAATCGACTGCATTGCACATATACGAACACATTTTGTTTTAGCTTATGTGATAAAACCAGGCAATGTCTAAGAATAGCGTCAATACAATTAGACTCTAAATCTTACTTATCTTATAAGTAAGCTCCTACATGATGACGTTTTTTGACAAAAAGTTACTTGTTTCTTTTCTGTGTGTACCTGTACTACTCTAACAATTAATACGAAACTTCAGTGAGTTGTTTTGCTCCCGCTCGCAAAGGGTTTTGGCGAAAAACATTCATGGAAATGCATGCTGATCACAAATAAAAATTGTGTAATGAACAAGCAAGTTTCTGTTTTTTTTCATCTTTTTTTTAAGTAAAATTTTACTGAATTTTCTCTCGTACCGTGAAGCCAGTTTAAAAAAATAAATTACGTAAAAGACATTCCAATTCAAGGACGACAGACAAGTCTAGGACCCGGAACAATTATTTTTAGATTAGGGATTCGCGGCCCCTTAGCGTTGCAACTCATTGTTAAGCCACTCCGCCATGGAACCATCATGTTTAAACTTATTCCAAAATTAATCAAGGCGAACGAATACCTTAGACTAAATATCAATTAATTTAGAAAACTACTCTTGTTCTAAGAATTGCTCCTTAGCCATAAACTAACTTAGCAGAATTGTTCCAAGGCAATTGTTATTCAAAAGCGTTTATTAGGGAAGTTAGTAGTTGCTCCAACGTTTTAATTGAACGACTTGAAATTAAGGCTAATCCTTAATACAAATGTATTTTATTTCACTGTAGTAAGAAATACGTTCATTCAAATATCATGATTGTAATTATTTCGACGAAAAAGCGACAGATGGCTGAAAATCTATCCTAAAACTCCAAACACAAACCTCATGAGGATATTATTATGGGATAACAATGCCGGTTGAGAGACTCTGATACTATACCAATACGTCTACTCAGTTTAAGGAGTATAGGCAAATTTTAGCTAAAAATGAGCATATGATCATCAGGCATAGAAAACCTTAACGATACGAAGGTATATGTGAAGTTATGTTAAAAATTTTATAAATGTTAAAAACTTTTTCATTTACCTACGATAGCCTTCACACAAATGTATAGTTTTTGCAGACGATACTACTATAATAGTTAAAAGTGATGACAATAATTCATTAGATTCGCTTGCAAACACAGCTTTAACGAATATCATAGAATGGGTGGCGGCTCTCGATTTATTGGTCAATCTACAAAAAAAGAAAATTATGCAATTTAGATCATACAGGTTTTCTAGACAATACTTTAATGTCCTATTAACAAAATTGATTAAGTAGATTACTATTAATTTTTAGAGTAAATATTGTTACACATCTGAACTGGAAGGAACATATGGATATCGTTTGTAAAAAGCTTCAACGTTTCGCTTTTTCTATAAAAATTGTCAGGCAAAATATATCAGTTGAGGCTGCTCTCACCGCGTACCATGGCTACTTATCACCGATGCTTATTCCCATAGCTATTACTTTGGGGTAACTCTGTTGAGGTAGAAAGAGTACTTTTAGTTCAATAACGATGCATCCGTGCCTCAGGCAGCATTTGGTATTTAAATAGTTGTAAACCTTAGTTTAAAAATATAATATTCATTCATTACCTAGTTTATATATCAGAAAAGCCTCTCTTTTTGTCAAATCATTCCCTAAGTATTTTAAAACCCGCCAAAATACAACAAGGCGTTTCAAAAGTAAATATGCAGACTTGTTTATCAACCTTCGTGTCATAAAGATATGTATAAGAGAAATATATATAACATGAGTATATTATTATGTAACATTACCTATAAACTAAAAAATATAGAAGGAGCCTCTTTCAAAAATAATTTAACGAAATGGTTATTGGAAAATAATAATAGTTTTGTTTTATGTACCTAAATATTTGCACGTCTGCGAGCAGACTTAACACATGTACATTATAAATATTTCCTGAAGACCTTGTCAACTGTGTTTTATGCAAATAAAGAATTTATATTTGTATTTATAAATGAAATAGCGTATTGATTTCGATATTTATGTAAATAGTCATTAAACAAATTTTAGGTAGTCAACATCGGAACATCGAGTATAATTTTAACTTTTTTAAGTTCCCTTAAACTTATGGGGTTATTGTTTAACTGATGTTGTATTAGCCCCTAAATTTTAGCTTTTCATATTTAATATAAATTATCTAATTATTATAAATTAATTTTGCAATACCTATGCCTAGGTCTAGATTGAAATGTATTAATTATCGGATCCCAAACAGATCGCAGGACGCAGCTATCTTCCCTACAGAAATTCAGTTTTTTTTAACTTCAATAGAAGTGCGAATCATACTTGGTGGAATAGATTTTTTTTTTGCAAAGATTCGGTTTTGGTTTATTAAATCTGATAGGGACATATTTGTATATGTTCACAGACTGCACACTTACCGGAGCGTCGGTGCTTCACGTCAGTATATTATGTTCTTTTACGTGGCGTTCTAGATTAGCTCAAATAATAATATTGTTAAATATGATCAGAAATTTATATCGTCGCAACAATTCAATGAGCTTCATCATTTTTGTAAATTTTGCTGCGCACGAGATATAAAATTCTTTTAATGTTTTCGAGTAATAAAAGCTTGCACAAATTGCACTGATGTTCCTTATATTCTAGAAATTTCCGCGGACATTCGAAGTGAACACTTTATTAGGGTACTTTTAGCATCCTCAAGTGATTTTATATAATGATTTCTATCATGGAAATGCCATGTTACCTATTTCGAAAACAAATTCCTGTGTTAATTAAAAACATACTTTTACTAAAAACGCTTATAAAGTTATAAATTAAGACAATATTACAATAATTATGATAATCATACTATAAGATTAGATATAGAATTGATGGCTCCGTAACGGTTTTCTTTCGTTCTTTGTAGTACATATTACCTCTAAAAATTGTTCTCAATAAAATGAAAAATAATATTAGTTTAATGTTAATTAAACTGACATTATTTTTCATTATTTTACTCCTTGAAATTTTTCTTTTTCTGATTCGTATCGTCGTCCATTCTCTTGGGGCGTCTCTTACCGATGATTTATCACGCGGCAAATTTATGTTGTCGATATTCTTTTATCTTTTCTTCAGATTTTTGTCTCACTTTTCGTTCACACAAATCACATTACTATGTTTATCAAAATTAAGCTTAGTAATTTATAGTTTTTGACCCATTTTAATCAAAGTTACTTAAATAATTAATGCTGTATTAAAGTTTACATTTTTATTTGTTATACACCGTCTTGATGAAAAAATACATAATTATGTATAAATATATCATCACAATAAAATCCGATATATTATTTGGAAAAGGGTAAGTTTCCGGCGGGCATTGTACAGATTGATGAATGGCCAATGCTGCGTGTGGTACGTACAGAGCTTTCTGTAAATGTGTTAAGTTGTTCTCACACTTTGACATTATTATCAACATACTAATTGTGAATTCAAAACAAAAAAATTTTTATTGTAAACTCGTTTGTACCGGGCCCTGTCATTAAACGCATCTGCCTATTTAAAAGATAAATATCCTGTATTGTTGTCTTTTTTAATTATAATAAACGAGTGCTTGACTACAACTTTTTATAATAGCCTATAAAGCGTTCACAACTCACACTTTTCATTCTACTTCTCATCCTCGGCCCTGCGTATTTATATCTAGAATTTACGAGATTTATCTCCACTAATAGAATGCTCTAAGACTTTCTCAATATTTTAAACTGTCGGATGATATCTAGGAAATGAGATGGGTAGTAAATTCACTGCCTAATAAAACATTTTTATTTCTTTAATTGGCTAGTAAATAATAATATTTAACGTTCACTGATTGACATGGGCCTCCTATGGTCCGTCACGTTTGGAAGACGGATTAAAGACCTCGCACCATTGAGAATGCCCCTCGTCGACGGTCTAGGTAATTTAAGTCCTGCGTAAACTAGAATGATGATATCGCCAACTATTGAAGGCCTGTAGATTTTTCTGACATTTCCCATAATCACCTCTTATGCTGTTTATCTTCTGATTCTCTTATGCTGCCGTCACAAGGTCAAATATAGAAAGATGGAGTAAATACTATAATTTATTATTACAGAACTTTTG